CCAAGTGTTGGACAACTCGTATTTGCATTTCCTTCCGCCGCAAAACATATTACATAAGAGCTGTTGATTCGTTGATTTGCGGATCTTTTCACTCAGTTTTGTGTAACTAATCAAACAATTGTAATCAATTTTGTTTAGTTTAAGTTTACATCGTTTTAATGAGTTTATTTTATAATGGTAACTATTGTTTAATGGTCAAAATGTTTAATTATTTTAGTTTTTATCATGGTGCGAAATTAATTATAAATACTCAATTGAATAGTAAGATTAGTTTATAGATTATGCAGGGAACAATCATATTGTTATATTGTAATAATATCATAGTTCTATAAACATGAAAAAAGTATATAATTTGCCCTCTAATCAGTCCAACGTATTAAATAAGTTTAGTAAATAACATAATAATAATTAAAAATTTTTAAAGTACAGTCTTTTGTCATAGTGTACAAAATCACTAATAATCATAAATAAGAACAATTATAATACAAATACAAAAGTGGCTTGCTGATTGCTCTTTTCCCTATTGACCTCTAATAATAATGATTTAAATATACAATATAATCTTGGTCATATGTCATTAATTTTCTTAGGAATATACCACTGAATGATTATATTATATTTGACGTAAATCTATATATCATTTGTTTGTAATCTAAACAATGATTTTCATTACAAATAAATGAACGGAAATGTCATTTACGTAAATAATCACAAGAAGTGTATCTTTTCTTATAATAAGGAAAACATGTGTTTATTCTATTGAATGTCAAACCTTTTATATAATACTCATTTGAATAACAAATATATTACATATTATTCTGTATATAAATAATTTCAATGTTTAGGTTAGAAATGTTAATATATTATAATTTAATTTATTATTAATAAATCGGTTGAATTTGAATATGAAATAAATTACAGTATAAAATAATTAATAAATTAAAAATTAATTTGTTATACAAAATATTTGGTAATTCATGAAACCAAAGGATATATGATTTAAATATTATGCCATCGCTTCCTATAATAAGTACAAATTATGGACTCAAAAACATAAAAAGTTTTCATACCTTTAATTCCCAGTAAATTGAGATTTTAATTCACTTATATTTGTAACAAAATAATTAACAATATTCTCAAGCGTTTTAATAAATTACTATCACTTATAATAGGGTAAACACAACTCTCTCGGCAATGACCAGAGTTTGCAATCCTTTTATTTTGTGAACTAATTTGTGAACTAAAATGCAATTTTATGGCATTTAACGTATAAAATATTATAAAACACTAAAACCTAATAACGTTTACACAGAATCCCGTTTAAAGCCTTGGTTTTGTTTTATACCCAAAATTTTTTGTTAATCTACAAAATACTCGTAAATATTTAATATTATTGAAACAATTAGACAAATGAGCATTTTATCATATGCTTTAATGTTAGCCAACTTATATAGAAATGACATTTTTCTAGTATCCCATATATTTAAACGATAATTAAATGTGTTTTGAATTATAATTTCTAAACAATATAAACAATAAATATATAAATTATTGTTACTCTCGAAACACATTAAAATACATTTCGTAATACATTGTCGTTATAATCACTTATTAGATATACTGATAATTAATGTAATTAATTATTAAAAATAATGGCAACAAATTAAATGGCAATCAAATGAGCGCTTACTTCGGCTCCGGTATTGTGTCCCTATTGGCCGTACGCTTGGATTCAGTGGACATCTTCGGCGGCGGCGATGGCTTCACGTCATAATTAATAGCCATAACTCGAGTCATGTTTTGTGTGTTTTTGTTTTGTTTTTGTATATAATATTAAAACATAGAATATATATGAGAATTAAAACTTATATATCATAACATTTTGCTAATTATTTTGTCCAAAACTGTTTCCACAAAATAAATATTTATAACACTTTTAATATCAAAATTTATATTCAAAAAACACAACAATCAATAAAAACAAATTCATTACCAAATGTTTGAAAATCAATGTTTAATTAATAAAAACTGTTTTATACAGTATAATATATAATAAAAGTTATGTGAACTTTTCAGATGTGATTTTTACATTGCATACGATTCTGTTATCACAACTGCGATCACCACCAATACTCTATGCATTATAATATTGTTGTATAATTTACTTATTATGCAATTAATATAAAATACGTGCGATTCTGTGCTCACAGACAACGAGTAAACTGATGTCCGATTCTCTAAAACTCGCCGCACATACAGAATATTCTGTACGATTGTCAATGAATCGCAAAGCCTTCAGACTTTTTATCTCAAACTGCTTTGTCTCTCATCCGAAACAATAATAACATTAATTTAATAGTAATATTATTATATTAATATATTTGCATATATCTTGTACATTATATGCCATTATTGCATGTGTGTAGTCAATGGCAACTTGTTTTTTGTTGAATTTATTTTTCTCACTATTATATATCAAAGTTATTTTGCTGTACAGAATCTATAGAATATTCTTTGCATTACTTAAATGTTATTTTTTATGTTGATTCACTACACTATATACATGTAATATATTTTATATTATTAATAATATTCTTTATTATATTTGTATGAGATATCGATACATAAAGTAATGGTTGTGTCTCTCATTTGTATTGATAATATTGTATTAATATATGAAATGCGCAAATAATGTGGGAATTGTGTTAATTTGTGTTAATTTCTTTGTAAATTCTTGGCGTTTGAATTGATTTGTTAATCAATATAATTATTAATAATAAATAAGTATTTTTAATGAATGTTTTTAAACCATATCCATAAGTAATACTTAATATTTACAATACAATCGCACGAAATGTCAAAATGAAACACTAATTATGTATTATTTATATTAAATATTGATTTTCTTTGCTAAACAGGAAAGTGTTTAACACTTTATATTTATTGAATATTAAAAATATAGTTCAATATATTATATCAATGATTACTTAATTCACGTTTTCAAAAAATATATCGATTGAAACACAAATAATAGCATATATTTATCGCTTGACAACAAATAGTAAAGAAATTATTGTTTTCTTAAGTTTTTTTTATTGTTTGTTAAGTTATTTTTGAAATGTTTTTTATATCAATAAATTCCTGTCATTTGCTATGAAAAATGCAATAATTTTTTATTCAAAATTCTATGCAATATAATTGCCATAAGAATTATAGTAATAATAAAATATTTAATATATAATTCACTGTAAGAATTGATATTTAATGCAAAAACTGAACATTTTTATGACACAAACGTGTATTAAAAAACATAAAATTTATGACAGAAACAAGTATTAATACTGGACTTGAATTTTAAATATTCTGTACATTTACACAACACTCGCTTATTATAATTATATGCAATAACCAGGCCATTCCAAAATAGAGAGGGGCTTTTATTATTTGAACGTGATTAATGTTTGACCTTGGTAATTTTTATATATTATTCACTATAAATGTGAATAGTGTATGAATAATGTGCACTATTTTTTATATGTTTGCCCTACGTTGGCCCTAGGTTGGAATGCCGTGGCAATAACCAATAGTATACATGTAATTTTCAATAACATAATATTCTACAAATATAAATATAAGTCTCATTATTTTATAATGAAACATTATTTACATAATGTATTACATAATTTTTATCAAATTTAGAACTTTAAATATATTGCCCTTAAAAGCAATATTTACTGCAATTAAAATACTTTATATGAATGAAGTTAGAAATACTATTAATTTTATTTATATAAAAATCAATATTTATAATTACAAATGTACAGTTTAGGAAAATATTAATATACACTAACAAATTTATAAAATTTAATTAAGAATATTATAATTTGTGACAAACTTTTTATTTATTAACAATTAATAGTTAAGTTTTAATTTGTGAACAAAATATTTTCCAAGAGATTACTTCCCAATTAAATACTACATTACTTTTTACTATTATAATAATATATAAAACAACAAAATAATTTTATATATGCATAAAATTAACTTATTTAATAATAACATGTATTTATAATTTTTAATAAAATTGATTATTACTAAACGGATTAAAAATACTCGCAAGAATGAAGTGTTTGTACATTTTATATAATGGTACTACTTAATTCACTACTTAACCAATCCATTATTGGTAACACCGGTGCTCATCGTATAGCCGGCTGACCCGATGGCACCGATCAGATTGATCTGACACGTGGTAGTGCAGGCGCCCGTCAGTGTCCATAAGCTATAGGCACAGGTGGCACTAATAACACCACTGGTGTCGGCGCAACCGTTTGGCTGATCCGCTGAATATATCGATTGGCCCACAAATACAGACCCATCACACGGACCGCCACTCACTATACCCGTCCTCTCCGAAAGTCTATCGCCTATTGTTTTAAATTGAAATTCAAAACCAAATTGCAATAAATTTATCATTTATTCAGTGATTAAAAGTTATTAAATTTATATATTTTTTAAAAACAAGGTTATATTCGATGAATATATTACATACCGTTAATATAGAATAGAGTGGAAACGGGAGACGTTATAGTAATAGTAGTGGCGGCACCGGTCGGGTCGTACGCTGTAATCGGTATGTTAGCTGTGGAGGCGATCACACCATTACAGGTGACTTGACTGGTGCCGGTGTTGTTGGACACCAATGAGATAATATTGAGAAAACTGTTGGCACTACTGCTGCAAACATACACCGAGTTAGAGATGACGGTCGTACTGACAATCGGCGATACAGCTGTCAGAATCATAAAGTTTGAGCACAATTACAACAAATTAACATTTATGACAATTACTGACCCACGTTAGTGAATGCAAATGTGCCAGATATGGGCGCACGCTTTGAGATCGAGTGCAATCCCGCTGTAAAACCAAATTGATTGCAATTTATAAATGTATTGTAAAATTATATTAATTTAATTATGTGGAATCTTAACATTTCACTTTAATTGATAATTCTTTATAATGTAAAATAATTTTAGCGTAATTTAATCTTAATTACCTGAATTGGCGCCCAAAGCGACCCACATTAATAAAAATAGGGTTGGAATTATTGATTGTCTCTTCATTTTATTAAATAAATATTTGATTACAAACACAAAAATATACTTAAAAACTATGTATAATAATAAATATATTTATTTGGCATGTTTTTATACCTTAATGATTTGATGCAGTGCAATTGTTTCTAATGATGTACATATAAATGCAATTAATACAAATTGCACATTATCATTGTCACTGAATTATACTGGAACAACTAATTTATGGTTTCAACATGGAGTTGCAAATACTCAACAAATACAGTAAAGATCGCACAAAATGTAATTAAAGTAATTATTGTGACCATAAAACTAGTCTCAAAATTATCATAAATTGTCTTAAAATATACCAAAAAACTGCTGAATAACATTCACAATAGGACTCACAATACAAACCACTAAACACCAGAATATACTGTACTTACAATTGTTGTGACAATCAGTTTATGGCTTAGTTATTGAAACGCCAGACCATTGCGTAAACACCACTCAATTAGATATTATGTAATCAAAAAGTTATTTACAATTCATTTATTCTTTTTCTAAAGTTCAATACAATTAAAAACCAAAACACAATTTAAAACTACTATACGCTTAAAGCTAATCGACGGACAAATATTACAGATTAAGTATTTATAATATAAGTATAAAAACATTTGTTAATAATTTAAAAAATAAAACTTTTCATTGATTTTTACGATGAATTCGGCGACGAATTGAAAACACTTCGGGTTTTGTTTTCAACGGGAGAGAAGAGCCGGGAGTCGTCGGCCGCTGAGCCACCGCTCGGAGCGATGTAATGAACAGTCGATATATCCATCAATTGAAACGAGTAGTCGTATAGCGATGGCCGCGATCTATACACAGGACTCTCGTCATCGCCGCCACCGTTCGCACCATTACTTCCATTCTCCTCGTGAGCGGCCTTAGAGTCGATGATCTCCGGTATGAGTCCTAACGATTCGCGGCGTTTCGGTTCAAACCGTAACTTCAGTCGCGAAAAGTCGGGAATCCGTTCGGCGAACCACTTCCGCCTCTCTTGGATGGCCGGAGTGGCCAACAGTTCGGCCCGTCGTTTGTCGCGCGTCTCCTTCACCGTCGCGGCCATCGCTTTCATCTGTTCGGTCATTGACTTCAACTGTTGGCAAAACTGTCGCCCTTTGGCCAGGAATTCGTCCGACGAGTCGGAAAAGGCGTTCACATCTTTGTCCGAAACTATTGTTTAAAAACAAAACACAAGACTTAGACTAAGATTATCACCAAAAACCTAATCATTAATACTGTGTTCGAGGATTGAGTCGTAATTCTGAGCAAAATTAATCAACTCTTGGGCCACAACTGACAGCGATTTACTGCCGTTTTGTTCGCAATTATTGTCAAACAATTGTCGAAAATCAATGGAAGTGTTGTTAAAAGAGCTCTTATTGTTTGTCGACTCAAAAGCGGTCACATAATTGGGCCAATGCTTAGCCACCAATTGGTTCATCGATACCAAAGTGGCCGCCATTGCGTTCGCGTCGCTCTGCAGTCGTTCAAACCGATCGGTAATAAACTGCTCAACATTTTGGTCGCCATCTAATCCATGAGCTCTTCGGACGGCCAGCAAAAGGTGGTCCTTCTGTTGCTGTAATTTCTTCAGGGAATCGCTTGTCTTGTAATAGTCGTCCAGAAAATACTCCATCCGTTGTCGCCATTCCTCCGTATCGGCTATTATCCTCTCTTTAATCTGTCGATAGTCTTCGGACAACTCCTTCACGTCATCGATTGTGATCTCGTTGTGCGGTTTGATGGCAACGGAAGCGCTACCACTCATACGTTGGATGTATTTCTTAAGACAATAGTTGGAGAAATCGAGATACAGATGACAGACAGTGATCTCAGGCGTGAAGTGTTGGAAATAAATGGGAACAACGCGTGGGAAATGACACGACGTTTCCTATCAAATGGTGGACACAATCAATTAGTGGATCAAACAAATGGTCAATCGTTGGGCAGTAATGGCTGTCAACGCAACAAACCTTCTGCGAGATCTCGTGCAGCCATTTGTAAGCGCTTTGACGGAACTCTCCCTCTTGTTTGCGGTCGAGGACAGGGAAGCAGCCGATGAACCGACGCCGGCATTCCTCCGGTTCTGCCGTTTGAAACAAATGGTATGTAATTAATTGAAACGCTTTGGGCGTCAACTTCTTGAACGTGTCTCTAAGAGTGAGCAAAACAAAGACACACATTATAGACAAGCATAGGGGGCGGCGATCACCGCAACGGATCCAATGCTATTACTTACTCGTTGATAGCGATGGTCTCTTTGCGTCGGCGGACGAACTCATCGACGGATAAGAGTTTCAGATTATTAGCCAATTGTGTCCTCATTGTGGCGAAGAGGTCCACATCGGGTGCGGCGGCGGAGAGTGTGCTGTCCATCGAAGACGAGGCCATTGTATTGGCAGCCAATCGAGTGATACAATCGTCTTGGGATCAAATGGTGATCGCAAACAGTGGTCTCAATATCTCAACAGCCGTTCACTTGTTGTCAACAGTTGTGCTGTATTTGGCGCTCAATATCTGTTACCATCTGTTCGTAAACAACGTTACGCCCACTCAATAGGGGCTCAATTGGGCTAAACTTTTATTAAGTTTAATTTAGTTTCAAATATTTAATTTAAGTAAATTATGGTTAAATAATTTTCTAATTGTGTGTATAATAGTTGTATATAACAATAAAATTAGTTTCTAACCATGCTCATATTGGCATTAATCATATATTCACTTTATTTTACTCCCTTATTATTATAGGGGCTAATGTTTAAAAGCATTACATTTATATTACCAGTAAATTATTACACAAGTTATTTTAAATGGGCTTTTAATTAAATTAAAATGTTTTAATTTAAGCTTAAATATGAAATAATTTAATTAATGTACGATGATAAAAGCGAGTGAATGAGCATGATAAAATGTCTACGGCCATATCACGCTGAAAGCACCGGTTCTCGTTCGATCACCGAAGTTAAGCAGCGTCGAGAGGGTTAGTACTTGGGAGGGAGACCACCTGGGAATACCCGGTGTCGTAGACTTTTTTACCGTAATTTTTACTTTTTTTTTTGTTTTTTGTTAATTTAGTTGGTAATTAATTTCATGACTTGTCATAATATTAATTTAAACTAATTTAAAAAGTTTAAATAATTAATTAATAAGTTAATTTTTAATAGATACAGTATTAATTATAAGATTTTGGTAACCAATGACTTATTCCTATGTTTTGATATCTAAATCATGAACTAATCAAACAATCAATCAATTAAATCAAATCCATTTAAAACGTAAACTATTTTTATTAATAATTTATTGCACTTAAAAGTTAACAGAAAAAGTATTGCACTTTTCAAATGTATTACAAAATTGTTGTTTAAAATACAATTATAATAACATTAAAATTAATCACGAATTTTCAATTCATTGCTAAAAAGGGCTTTAAAACGAATTAAACAATTTTTGGATAATTAAAAAGTTTAAAAAATCTCAAAACAAAATGAGTTAAAAATTATAAATCTATTTACAATTAACTAACAAATAATAATAATAATAAAATTCGTAAACTATTTACACATCATTTAAGTATTTAAAGACCGATAATAAGTAATGAAATCAGTGTTTAAAACATTAAAACTATTTAAAAATAATTAATTAATTAAAAAACAACTAAAAGTCTCGACGACTACTACTCTTCGTTGCCGTTGAGACCAATGGGACAGTAGTTGTGGGGAATGAAAGGCGCCGAATGGGCTGACAGTGTGCTGAAGAAGTGCTTCCCATTGGCGTAATGATTGGCCACCGGTTCCACGATCACCGCCGGACCAGCTCTACAGCCGGCAACGCCAACAGCACCGGTAGTACTACCGGTGGTAAACATCTTCCGGCGGCGCATCACTATATGCGAGAGACAGACAATGCACTGGACGTTGCACTCGATGTAAGAGTTGGTGAGCCGTAGCTCGCGGTGGACAACAGTCTTGACGTGTGCGGGCACACAGACGCCGCCGTGTGTGGCCGCCCTCTCGCGGCGCCAGATCTTGTGGTCGGGCAGACAGTAGCGCATCAAAGCCTCGCAACAGACGTGATTGACGGCAGCCCTCAGACCCATCGCGTGCCACAGTTTGTCACGTTTGCGGAGAAAGAGCCGCAGTTTGTTGGCCGACACGGAGCCACTCATCGCGAACCGAACCAAATCCAGTTTGATGTCGAGGTCGTCCTCTTCCATGTCGTGCGCCAGATATAGGGCGACCATTAGATACACCGGAGTGTACTGTTGGTGCCGAAGACCCGCCCGTTTGAAGTACGTTAAGGCCATCGCCAACAGGTATTTGTCGGCCAATAGGCAGCACTTGTCCCACAGTAGCAGCTCTTCCACCAGCGGTTCCTCCAGAAGGCGTCGAAACGCCTGAATGTCTTTCTTCGAGATCTCAAAGTCTTCGTACACGACGTGCGAAGTGGTGGTCATCGCTGTGGCCGCCGACGACACCGACGACTCGCCGGCTGTGGAGGGCGTCGAGCGGCCCGACGACAGTCGACTCCCGCCGCCGATCGACGAGTGGTGGCCACCAGTCGTGTGAGAGACCGACCATTCGTGGCATGGATTCAGTGAGTGGTTGACCGCTGCGGACAACACGTGCGCCGCCGACGGCTGTATTGGTTGGACGCGTTGCTGAGTCGGCCACGAGTCGAGACCGCAAGCGGTGGACCCGTTGTGGTGACGATGGTATGGCTGGTGATGATGGCTGTAATGGCTGTTGTGGTGATGATAATCGATGGCAACCGTAGTATTGGCGGTACTGTTGGTGTGGAACCAATTCATGGCCGATATCTTAGACATCACTCTAGAAACTAACGCTTCGACTAATAGTCAGTAAAAAAAAGTTTTTTTTTTCACTCGTATTTCGCGACACAATCGCCGAACACAAGGAATGACTGAATCAAAGGATTGCACACAACGTGTTGTCGCCACTGATGTCTGCACTGATTGTCTGTCTGTCTGTGCGTCGAAAACAAGGCGTGAATCGAGTGTTGGAATCGTTGGCCGTATTTAAGCCGTGAATACGTTTCGAGCGATCAGTGGTTTTGACACAAGAAATGGAATGAAAGGCAGACTATTGGGTGAACTAATGAGTGGAACACAGCATACGATACGACACCGACTGCCAGACAGACAGACGATAGGCATGTGTTCTGTTGTGTTGTGTGTGTATTGTGTGAGCAGACGATACTATGAACGCATCGTTTCGAACGCTTAGCGCTCCGAACGCTCATTGGCTGAGAGGGAGAGCGAGAGAGAGAGAAGCACCAGATTCTGTGTCACACGTGTGGCGAGTGTTGTGTGTGTTGTACGCATGCGCTGCCGATTCTGTGCCCGGAATCCAAGTTTTGGTCAAACTTTTTTGTTGAACCAAAAAGTGAATGTATTTTTCGATGCCATTGAGAATCGATGCGTGCATTACATGTATTGCATGGCATTTGTTAACACAATATTCTTGTTCTCATCTACTTTTATAGTACAAAAGGTTATATTTTGATCATAACTTTTTAAACACAAATATATTGTTCTTTTCTTATGTAACTTTTTTTATGTATAATTAATAGGGAAACCGCTGGGAAGCGATTTGGAAGCGATTTTGGTTGATTTCATAGATATTAAAGTGTAATGTTTAATCTATTTGCTTACCAACAGGTCTATTAGCGTTACTCAAAGAGAATTANTTTAATCTATTTGCTTACCAACAGGTCTATTAGCGTTACTCAAAGAGAATTATTAATGACTGTATACTTTAATATTTAGTTTTAAAAAATAAACGGTTTCTCTAATAATTAAACGCTGATCACGAATATCTAATTTAAAATGTTTTATGTTGGACATTTTTGAGATATTTGAGTTTAGAATTTTACCGAAAATTGTTTAAACATAGCTTAACCGAACCGAACATAACATAATCTAGATTATAATATGTTATATTCTGTTAAATAACATTTTGTGTTTGGGTTAGACTTGAAATTTTAGGAATAAAACATTGTTTATATTTGTGTTGCTATAAATGCAAAACAATATTCTGTTGTTTTATTCAATGCACTTCTTATGCCCTATAATTATAGGCAAACACTCAATGAATTATCAACTCACTATTAGTTTTGATAAATATTTTCAGTTTTACTTACATTTACATAAAAAACTTGTAATTTCATTAAAAATATTTATTTATAATAAATTCACTGATAATTAATGAATTGTGAATTTATA